GCCTCAGCCTTCCAAGTAATGGAACTACAGGCGTGCGCTACCACACCAGGCTAATTCTTTGATTTATAGTAGAGATGAGGTCTCACCAAGTTGCCCAGGCGGGTATCGAACCCGCGGGGTCAGGCAATCCACTCACCTCAGCCTCCCAAAGGCGCGGGATTACAGGCTGAGCCACCGAGCCCGGCTGGGAAGGTCTTTTATACAAACTCAGAAGGGTCTCTGGGAACTTAGTTGCTGGCAGAGACTCAGTGTGAAAGACTATCTGTATCTTGGCTAGAAAAGCAAGACAGGATACAAATGAGTCCTTGTATATCAAGGCCAGTGACTTAAAATTTAAAAAAAAAAATGACAAGGCTGTGATGAGCAGGGGAGGAAATGGAGAAGAGACCAGTGATTTAAGAGAACTCTAGAACAATCAGTCCTGACAATAATTCCTTTATCCCCTCTTGAAGAGTAGTAGGTACATTATATCAGAAGACAGCCCAAACAAAAATTTCATTACAAGGGTTATGTTTATAAATCTTTAAAATCTCATTTTCACATGCATTACAGATATGCTGAAGGATTCCAAGCTGACCTGACAAAAACAGCTATGAGAGAAGCTAGGATTTGAAAAGCTCTAGAGAAAGTAACCCTGCTTCCGCTTTTCAATTCTCCTCGCTCAGTTTTCTTTTTTTTAACGTGTATATTTTATTTTAAAGATGTGGGGTACCATTCAGGATTAAGTATACAAGTGGACATCGTACAGGTAAAGTTCCAGTCCTCAGTTCCTAAGGACAGATAACAGGACCACACATTTCCTGAGATGCTGGAAAGAACAAATGGTTACTCCTAACATCCCATAGGCATCTCCATCATGAACTACCATGACTAGACTTCTACTGAGTAGCAGGCAAAATGCAACTGCAGTCAACTGAATTACAGATTGAAAGCTAAAGGCATGCCCACTTCCGCTTTAATATCTTTTTTCCTCTAGGCAGTATCAAAATTTAGCAAGTGTATGGTGAATTTTATTCCCTAATTGGGAAGTTGTGAGGATTTATCCTTACCAATTTAAATAATTTACTTCATATTTCTAGATAAACCAGTATCATTCCTTAGTTAAAAGAACCAACGGTTTAGGTATTAAAATAAAGTACAGTGCTTATATTAAGTCACACAACCATATGTATTACATTGAAGAACTGTCTACTTACCGTTTAATAATATGTTCAAAGATAAAAGCAGGCATGATTGTAATAGTGACTACACTCCCAGATGTTGACAGTATGTCTGCAATTTGAGAATCCTGATAAAAACACATAGTAAAAATTAATTCCACTGAGGCTTTATTTACTAAATGTAAAACTGTGTTACTCTTGGTAAATAAATATACAATATATGCCCTATATAATCATCTTTTTATTACTGAATATTAAATAATCTCCCCATATGCAATACTACCATATTATCTTAGTTAACTATATATTCTAAACCAAAGTTTATGAAATAAGCAGGTCACAAAGTCTTTAGATCGTAAGACAGACTTACTTAGGAATTTGTGGAGGAAAAACAATTATAAACACAAAGTACTGATATGAACAAACTATGATTCGTTTCCTTATATTCCTGGAATGAAAAATGGTGGTCAGTCGTCCACTGATAATGTCATCAAAATCTCTGCTGCCCGTGTTGCCACAGAACTCTAGCTCAAGGGACTTCAGAGATCATTTAGTCTAGTCCCTTTATTACAGGAACTGTAATTCAGGTAACACTTCAAATATTTCCTGTGACTGGCCAGATTCAGAGACCAGGTCCCATGTCCCCCACCTCCCACTGAGTTTCTGTATTTTGGAAGTCAATATGAAAACAGAACCATCTAAATAAAGTCAAGAGGTAAACATATTTTCTAAAATTAAGCTGGCAGAACAAGGCATAAGGCCTGCTTCTTACCTTCAATCCAATGACATTCTGTCCATTGATTTCACAGATATTATGTTCCGTGAGAAGACCATTTCGGGCTGCAGAACTATCTTTCACTATGGATGTTATTTTTCCATTTTTAAAGATAAAGCCAACATGTCCAGTACTATCCTTATGCATGGTAATTGTCCGTTCAAAGGGCCTATAAATATAATGGGTTCAATTAAAAACTTAATTCAAAGGCAAATATTTTAATGGATTTCATATACCATAAAGTCTGCCATATTGGATACTGTTATAACAAATACTAAATATTTCTAATAAATATATTATGCCTCTGATACTATATATTCACAGAACACCTTTGTGTAAAAGATTTTTTTAAAATATTCATTATGGATTGACTGGTTTGCTAATTAATTAATACTTCCTTCTTTAAGTATCAAAGACAATTGAACACAATGCTTCATGTGTTTTTATCAATATGCTTTGCTTTTCCTTTAAAATTTATAAGACTTTACATAGCATTAAGAATGAGATAGACTTTGAACTAAATCTCAGTAGTAAAAATAAATATTTTTTATTAACTTTTGGTAATTTTTGGAGCCTAATTATTCTTAGAGAACGTTTCCTTTATTTGAAACCTTTATAATATTTCTCAAATCTTGATTTAGAAAATTTAATAGTATGTTTTTGTTGTTGCCATATTTAAGAACTATAGAAGCAATAAGACTTAAGTTCCTCAAGCCCTTTTAGAAAGGAAGGCATGCAGCTATTATAAAAAGGCAACCAAGCTGTCCACTCTCAAAAGATGTCACACCAGTTGCACTTGCTTGCTTCTCTACAACTCTGCTATTATGTTATCATAGGGCTTTATAATAAACTTGGAAACATATCAGAAAATTCAGAACAGCCATAACTTCTTGTTGATCCATCTTACTCTCTCAAACTGTTTAGCTATAAAGTAAACGTAATATTCACCTAAAACATTTCCTAAATAAC